TTTGTGAAAAGTGTGGACATGGGGTAATGTCCTGAAAAGTTACCTTCTCCTTGTAATACCTATGTCATACCCTTGTCATTATACAAATGTATGTCCTCATTTGTCACAAAAACGCGCACACACACACACACACACACACACACTCACACTCACACTCACACTCTCTCTCTCTCTCTCTCACACACACACACACACACACACTCTCTCTCTCTCACACACAGACACACTCACACACACACACACTCTCTCTCTCACACACAGACACACACACACTCACACACAAGAGATCCACAGTTTAGTTTAATGCAGAGGGAAGCTACTAGTCTTAAGGTAGTCTCACCATGGCAATGAAGCGGCCAATGAAGCGGAAGTAGGTGAGGTGGTCGGGGTTGATGGAAGAAGCAGGGTTAATCTGCAGACAGTAGTTGTTTTTCCCGGCATACTCAAACAGACAGTACATGGGGTTCAACACCTCATGAGACAGCAGGAAAAACCACTCCCTACAGACAGAAATACAAAACAACATTACAACACCAGCTAAAGATGACCATACACTCACTTAAATATTCCTGTGTTGGCACATTACGCAAAAATAAAAATAGTTTGGCGAATTCTTTGAAAACTTCCAAATCAGTATGTAGTTTATTAGTATAAATTAGGAATGATTTCTGAAAGTAATCAACAGATGTCTACACTAGAGGGAACATTTAATTGTTTGAGGCCTGACAGAAGCCTGTTTCTTTACAAAAGACACAAGAACTTATGAGAGTAATGGGAAAGAACAGAAAACTCACGTAACTTGTTAACAACAGCAAAGGAAATACCAATTCAGAAATATTTCATTTACATTGTAACAACTTTCTCTTCATTTATTTTTATTAATATTATTTCCCACATTTTAGAAGAGCAGTAAAGTCATAAAAACTATGAAATAACCCACATGCAGCTCTACATACTACATACTCTGTGCGTTCTGTCAATCAACTTCATGAGATGCATCCTGGGAAGCTTTTAATACACAGTATGTTATGTTAAAATCTATGTATGCTGGACACATTTTGGCTGCCTTTCCTTCACTATTCACTCCAACTCATTCATTAAAAAACAGTTATGTTTTTACCAATTTCAGTTTTGCAAAGAAAGGCACAATCATTCTGTGAGCCACTTGTGAGGGATGCTAACAAAACCAAATGAAAACAAATTTACAGAAAAATAAAAAAACACAAATGTGACCCTGGAGCACTAAAGCAGTCATAAGTAGCACGAGTAGCTATATTTGTAGCAATAGCCAACAATACATTGTATGGGTCAAAATTATTGATTTTTCTTTTATGCCAAAAATCATAAGGCATAGTAAGTAAAGATGATGTTCCATGAAGATATTTTGTACATTTCCTACCTTAAGTATATCAAAACTTAATTTTTGATTACTAATATGCATTGCTAAGAACTTCATTTGGATAAATTTAAAGGTGATTTTCTCAATATTTGTATTTTTTTGCACCCTCAGATTCCAGATTTTCAAATAGTTGTATCTCAGCCAAATATTGTCCTATCCTAACAAACCATACTTCAATGGAAAGCTTATTTATTCAAAATTTCAAAAAATTGACCATTATGACTGGTTTTGGGGTCCAGGGTCACAAGGGAACATTTTGTAGAATACGAATTTGAATCAAAACAATTATTAAAAATGACAAACAAATGAAACACAATTTGATGTACTCACTTCTACTATATAAGAATTAAAGAAATTCCCAGACAAGAAAATGCCACCAAAAGTGAAGTTTCAGCTTATTTTGTATGTAAAGAACAGTGCAGGTGCAACATAAAGTGATGAAGATGAAGGCAGCACAAACACACATTAAATCATGAGCAGTACAACAGAACCCAAGCCCTGACCTTTGACCCCGGGGGTGTTTGGATAGAAGCTTTAGGGGCAAAGGATGATTGGGGGAGGGGGTGGTTTGGTCGACGCAGACACCTCCAGACATCCGGTCCGTGGTTCTACCCTGTGGTAGAACAGCATGACGTAACCTACCATAGGGTAAAACCACTGACAGGACACAGGAGACAGACACAGACACAGGAAGACAACTACGAGGTCCAGACACCAACGAGTAAAGTTACACCACAGCCACCCCGAAATCAGAAACACTGACGCCACAGGAGCTCATACTGAACTTGCCTGGCTATTCCTCCGTAATCCAGTCCCTCCTCTCCTCTCATGATGATGTAGAGCCTCCGGCGGAGGTCATACGGCTTCATGTTCATGATCTGAGAGGAAACACCACGGCATTCTCATTATAAAGGGGTGTCAGCAAAAAGAAAATGTGAAAACGTGCTTTAGAAATACTGCTTGTCCACCTCAGGAGGTCAAAATAAAATTATATTAGCCTTAAAGGGATAGTTCACCCAAAAATGATAATTCTGTCATTAATTACTCATGTTGGAATGTCGTTCCAAACCCGTAAGACCTTCGTTCATCATCAGAACACAAATTAAGATATTTTTGATGAAATCCGAGAGCTCTCTGACCCTTTATAGACAGCGTGTGCTGAACGTAAACAACGCTGATTATATTGATTACGTTCTGGGGTACTCTCCAAAATGGCAGGGAGGAAAATTGTTGAATAAGTTATGTTATTATGGTTTTCTTTGCACACAAAAAGTATTCTCGTAGCTTCGTAAAATTACGGTTGAACCCCTGATGTCACATGGACTGTTTTACCGATCTCCTTGCTATGTTTCTGGGCCTTGATCGTGGTAGTACCCTTGCTGTCTATGGGAGGGTCAGAGAGCTCTCGGATTTCATCAAAAATATCTTAATTTGTGTTCCGAAGATGAACGGAGGTCTTACAGGTTTGGAACGACATGAGAGTGAGTAATTAATGACACAATTTTCATTTTTGGGTGAACTATCCTTTTAAGGTCTCTTCACACCAAGAATTAAAAAATCGCAAAATTCATAAAAAGTCATAAAAATGGAATTTACTGTATAACTCGGAATGTCATGGAATTTGTCAAATTTTGGATGGATACATCAAAAGTAGGTCAGTGCAATTAAATCAAAAGGCAATATGGACTAGTGTCTGTGAATATTAAGCCACAAAAAACTATTAAAGTATGAATCCTGCATGTTCTGCTTGTCTCTGTGTGAATGAATGATTTTCGCTTACTACACACACACTGAAGCGCAGCATTTCCAGCCTACGAGTACATGAACACATGAAAATAATCTCTAGAAACATTTTACCGTTTCTTTTGCGGAAACATATCGTCATATCATATAAACAGAGAAACTTAAAGGTCTTCGCAACAACCCGTCAAAATAAAAGTTTGGTTTAACGTGAAGAAACTGTGACAGAAATATATTAAAATAAAATTATTATTAAAACATTATTTTTAAGAAATATTTACCAGAAAAATGATTTACTAGAATTGATTTACCAGAAACATGTAAATACACAACACAGTATTTCTGGGGGGAAAAAAAGCAAAACATCTTTTTTATAAAATCAATTACTTAGAGATGTTTTTGATAATTAAAATTAAATGAAACCATTAAAATGGAATCCAGAAAATTAATGAAAAACACAGAATTTGGTAAAAATAAAACTAAATTTGAGGGGAAAAAAATCATGATTAAAAATTTAAATTTTTTTCTTTTAATAAATTTATGTTAAATTGTGTACATTTCATGATTTCAATTAATTAGATGTTTTTTTGATTAATACAATTTAATTTAACCATTAAAACAGAGTCTAGAAAAAATAAAACAGAACAAAACAGAATCCAGAAAAATGAAAATGGAAAAAAACGAATTTGAAAAGAAGAAAAAAAACCCGGATTTTCAGATAACTTTAACTACAACTATACTAGCATCCACACCAGCGGACAACGATCGTTTATTCTAAGCGCGCAGTTCAGTTTTGTCATCTGCTGCTTCAATCGCTCAAGCTCTTTAACGTCGTGTGGATGTTTTATCACTCATCAGCTGCATATAAAAGCTTTGAAAGTGATTCTAATTATATTGTTCCTCTGTGGCAATTATACTGTTACTGTTTACTGGTTACTGTTATAGTCGTGGTGTGGACTTCCCTGTTCTCATAGAATTAGAATGATTATGAAAACTTATAGTTATCATCCTGGCCTTAAATGAAGACCTCCATAATTTGGAGACCAATTTGGCTTGACGTTATACCCACCTGCTGAAATGAGTCCTCGAAGAGAGTCTGTCGGGATACGGAGATCTTCACGTGACTGGGCAGTGCGTTGGACTGCGTAGAGAGAGAAGAAATAGCAGGCCATACATTAACTTGCTGATGCTAAATGACAAAAATGTTGCATTAGATCAAGACCTAGAGTGACCCGAACAACTCACATGACACAAGAAGCGGAACTGGTGATATTTCCACCTGAAGCTGCGGTCGTACGCACCCGGAGAGCCACCCTGTCTTGAGCTAAACAGCAAACAAAGCACCGTGAGAGCATTCAGATGCCATTTATTCCAGGAGTGTGGCGCCTCAGACGTGATCAACATGAGCCAACTTTACAAGCGGCAGAATAAAGTCACCGCTTCCAGAAACAGGTCACAGTGACACATCAGTGAGGATTCAGATCAGAGAAAGCTTTGTAATTTACAGGTCGTCTTACATTTACATTTAGTCATTTAGCAGACGCTTTTATCCAAAACGACTTACAAATGAGGACAATGAAAGCAATCAAAACCAACAAAAGAGCAATGATATGCAAGTGCTATAACAAGTCTCAGTTAGCTTAACGCAGCACACGTACCAAGGTTTTTTTTATTACATAATAAATAAAAAGAAAACAGAGAGAATAGAAAAAGAATAGAGCAAGCTAGTGTTAGAGGCCTTTTTTGCTTTTGTTAATTGTATAATAAATAAAAAGAAAACAAATAGATAGAATACACAAAGATTAGAAAAGCTAGTGTTTTTTTTCAATCTGGTGTTGAGCTGGTGTTAACAAGCACAAGACAGTTCACTTTAAAAAGAGGGAAACTCTGAGGAACGAGACATCTACGACAACAAAAAGATGTATGAGAGAAACAACAGAGAGAAACAAGTAAAGAAAAAATAACTCTAATATTCTGTGAGAGGATATAACATATAAACAAATTATACATGACCAGTCAAAAGTTGGGAATATTTAGGATTATTTGATGTTTTTAACGAAGTCTCTTCTGCTCACCAATGCTGCATTTATTTGATCAAGAATACAGTAATATTGTGAAACATTATTACAATTCAAAAGGAAATGTTTTCTATTTTAAAATATAATTTATTGCTGTAATGGCAAAGATGAGTTGTCCGTGTCACATGATCCTTCAGAAATCTTTCTAATACGCTGATTTGCTCATTATTGTAAATGTAAAATCAGTTTTTTTTTGTTTTTTGTTTTGCTGCTTAATGTTTTTGTGGAAACCCTGACAAAGTTCAGAAGAACAGCACTTATTTGAAATAGAAATCTTTTGTAACATTATAAATGTCTTTGCTATCACTTTTAATCAATTAAATGCATCATCGCTGAATAAAAGTATTAATTTCTTTCCTTTTTTTTTCTAACCCCAAACAGTTCTCGAGCAGCAAATCAGCATATTAGAATGATTTCTGAAGGGTCATGTGACACTGAAAAAAAAAAAAAAATCAGCTTTGCATCACAGGAATAAATTACAATGCAAAATATTTTAAAATAGAATACGGTTATTTTAAATTCTAAAACTATTTCACAATTTTACTGTATTTACTGTATATTTGATCAAATAAATGCAGCCATGGTGTGCATAAGATCAAAAAAACATCGTAATTAATCCAAACTGGGAATAATGACCGGTAGAGTATGTATAGTTTATATATATACTGTATATATATATATATATATATATATATATATGAAACTGAATCTTTATCATGAATCATACACCTACACTGCATCGACCATCAGCTGTCTAGATACTGAGAAACCCATGTGTGTGGGTTTGAACCATCCACAGACTGGAGAGCTGCTGTGAACCTGTTGCCATCAGCTGCTTGATCTACAATCTCCGGCCTTCACATACAATCAGAGCATGCAGTCTGAGCTACAGCGTGTGCGATCTTTACCCTGACTCAAAGCCTGGCCGGGGGTCTTTAAAGGTGGTGGTGCGAGAATTGTGGTCCACAAAGTATCGCACCCCCTCTGCCGTGTACTTCATCTCCCAGCCCGGCGGCAGGGGCGGCTCCTGGATCATCCTGCAAACGGAGGAGGGCAGTGAGAGCAGCGCACCCTGCTGGACGCTTAACACTACATAACATGACGTGCCTCAGGAAAGTCTAAGACGCTATGAACAAACAAACAATGTAAAAATAAAAATGAGCAAACAAAGAATGTTTTGCAGCTTCAGGGGATGAGTGTGTGCTATTCGTTTTGGTTGAGCAGGCAGCTACCTTAAAAATAACGCAGCTTTCCCAGCAGTTTTACAGACAGAGCTAGGCATTGGCACCGCCCCCCAACGCCGTTTAGATTTTTTATAGTAATAAATCATTAAAAATAATTTTGTTCAGTTAGAGAACAGACAATACAATTAAAAACTTGTTGGCTTTTGCCGTTTATCTTAGGTGATTTTGAAAGTTTTTTTTTTTTTAAACATTGGTATCTTATTTAAATTCTACCGTGTTTGCTGATTTTCAGTTTTTTTTCATATTTAAACTTTGTGTAGGTTATATGTTGTTTTTAGTGCTGTCAAACGATTAATCGCGATTAATCGCATACAAAATAAAAGTTTTTGTTTGCATAATATATGTGCGTGTGTATATTTATTATGTATATATAAATACACACACATGCAAGAAAAATAGGTTATTTTTATATATTAAATATATTTATTTATAATATAAATTATATCAATATAAATATAGACATATAAATACATGTAAATATTTTCAAAATATATACTGTATGTGTGTGTATTTATATATACACAGAACACGCATATATTATGCAAACAAAAACTTTCATTTTGGATGCGATTAATCTCGATTAATTGTTTGACAGCACTAGTCATTTTATATTTGGCCTATAGCATGGTGTATTTTTATTCGTTTGGTTAGATAAATTCAACATTCTATGTTTAATATAAGCGAGTTGGTCATTGTACTGTTTTGTTGTTGTCTATTCTATCAATTGATGCAGAATTGCCGCTAATTCGAAAGTGAGAGTAAAATGCGCATGGGCGTTTACAAGCTATTTAAAAGCGAAGAAAAGCGAGGGAAAATCAAACGAACTGCCCCCCTCCCTCCCCTGGTGATACCGGTATTACTGGTGTTGTCACATGGTGATTATCCGGTGGGAAGATTTCCTCACCGTCACAACCCTACTAGTAGGCATAAAAAGTGTGATACACACTGCATGGCAAAAAAACTCCCTCTTAGACAGGAAGTGGCCCTCTGACTGACATAATATTTCTTACGCGATAACAAGCGACATATGCTTGTGGATATCCAGTGACTATATTCTGACTTCCTCAGAAGCGCATATTTCGACAGCAAACAGGACTTGGTTTCCAAGTGGGCGGTGAACGCACATCCTGGGATAGCAGGCCCATCAGCCAATCAGATTAAAGCTGCCAATTTTAGCCAACTCTCGCCCGCTTTTCTGTCAAGTTGCACTGCAGCTGTTTTTGGCACATTACATGTCATGACATTATTCAGCGGCAGTTGAAAATAAAATTAAACGTCTGAGAAACGTCAGACGAAAAGCGCTGCTTGACTTGAGTCACATAATGCATGTAGCTTTAAGGTGGTCAGTTACCTTTTCATTAGTAACTTGTATTGGTGCCAACTATATTTTCAAAAGTGTAGCTCAACTGGAGCGCAAGTATGAGCAGCTCGTAGCTTCGCACTTTCAAAGTAGCTTCCCCAACACTGGTAAATTGACGCTTAAAGAAGACACACAATCTGCAGATGATTTGCTGTGGACCGCATGAGTCATGTGACTGGAGGACATGATTACCCTTGGGTTCGAGGGTCCTCCCACTGCGTCGTTCGCGTGTTGTGATTGACATAGTACACTCTTCCGTTGTCCTGACGTTTCTCTGAGGGAAAGAAATAAAATTTAGTAACATTGTATTTTAAAGGGTTAGTTCACCCAAAAATGAAAATTAGGCTGCGTTTTACTCACCCCCGAGTCATCCTAGGTGTATATGACTTTCTTCTTTTAGACGAATCCAGTCGGAGTTATATTAAAAATTGTCTTTGATCTTTCAAGCTCTATCATGGCACTCAGCGGGTGTTGTATTGCTTCAGTCCAAAAGAAGTTAAATAAAAAGCGCCCATCCATTAAAAAATTTGTCTCACACGGCTCCGGGGGGTGAACAAAGGCCTTCTGCAGCGAATCGATGCGTTTTTGTAAGAAAAATATCCATATTCAAAATGTAATAATCACTTTAATGTAGCTTGCACCAACAGTTGTATACGGAAGCAGCTCCGGGCTGATGACGTATGAGGTCAGCGTTGCGCATGCATCTCGTGAAAACCAACGAGTCTCGTGAAAACCAACGTTTGTTAACAGGAGCAAAGGAAGCAAAGTTTCCTTACTTTAGCAAAGGTAAACCAGTCTCCTCTTGGCTTATATCGAAATCCTCCGACATTCTTCTTTACAAATCCTCGTTTTGTACTT